GTCATCTTTGTACCTTCCATAAATTGTCATCGTTTATGAATAACTATGATCGATTGATCGGTGAGCCGATGATGTCTTCTGCAACGGTAGTCGGAGAGAGTGTGAAAGTATGTATCGAGGAAAAGTAGCCTAAATCACTAATTAGTACGTCAAAAGCCCAATCAATCCCTTATTTAAAAGCAAAAAACTATGGCTCCAAGTGAGATGTTTTTTTTCCTGAAATAGCACTTTGTGTTTGTAGTTAATTTGCCCATTTTTGGTATTCTATTTTCAGATCTTCTGCACTGTTTTTTTTTGCAGGGTATATATACACTTGTCCAATCTTTTCTCTCGTCAATTCAGATAAAGTCAAGATTTATTTCTTTCTTTCATCTTAATATGCAGGGTCTTGTTATAAACATTATAAAAAAAACTCTAAGCATTTGATTCAAATTAAAATATCTCATTCTTAACCAAGTTCAAAAATCCACCAAAATCAATAATATATACATAATTCTCTATGGTAGTCTAACAAGATAAGTTCAAAAAAAATCTCCTCACACTGTGTGACAATTCAGAGGTGCATCAAGGACTCATCACACAATATTCAAACACAATAAATTTAGCTGTTCAATGAGGCACTCCAGTGCAAAATCTATCATGTTAATTCAAAATATCTGAAGCTACAGGGAAGAAGTCCAAAACTTCAAATCACCTCTAACAAGAATCAAACAACCTAAAGAAACAATTAATCAGCTTGATGCTGATACCATATCATATATACAGTAATGAAAATGAATTAACGGATTCTGACTGCAATATAAACAATTAAACAAACTCCACTTTCCCTGTATGTATGGACTGAAGCTTTCTCATCATGAGCATGCTAATCTCCATGAAACGCTGAGCACAATTGGTAAGGCAAACTGATTCTTTTGTGAGCTGAACTTATTGCCGGGAGTCCCAGTGATGCACTTGCCCCAATATTGCTCCGTAAGTTCCCCGATCATCTTATTAATCATAGCTTTCTGATTCTCTTGCTACAGAGTAAAGCAAATCAGATGAAATGAATGAAAAATGGGGAATTACATTTATCAAAATTCAGAACAAGTAAATGCAAATCAATAAGGTAAATCCCAACCCATCTTTTATTTAAATCAATATGAAACACACTAGAAAACGCACACTTTCATATTATGCATCAGCACAATTCAATCATCATATTTTATTCACTATCTTAATCAAACAGATAAAACATCCCCAAGAAATAGAAAACTAAAATACTAAACATGCTAATCCATCAACCATTTATCTCCATTCCACACAATGTCACTAGCAAAATAGACTCCATCCGATCCTCTTGTTAGCTTTTGAACCTTGTAAAATACAGATGTGCTAAATCAGCTACTGAATGTGAGACTGCATCATTAAAAAAAAGCAAACTTTGCATGTCGAGCACAACTGAGCTTTTTTGAACAAAACCACCAGCAAAGGAGGTCTGTCTTCTACAATTATCATTGTAATTCTTTCATTTACATTTCCACATGAAACAGAGGTAGGAAGCATACCTTCCATCTAAGTAAACTAAAAACACCCCTACTAATATATTCATGAGAGGATTAAGTGAAATCCATGGAGAGATTAAGTACAATTACTACAAATTTACCATTCGTATTTCAGAAGGTTATATAACTTGCAGACCGAATTGGAAGTCAAGCGAGAAAGCTGGTCAATGAACAAATGGGTGAACAAAGCACATAAAATGTGCGTATTCATTCGTATAAATACAAAATGAAAAAAGAAAAAGAAAGAAAAAGGTGACATCAACAACAATTTGTCAACTTTAGGTATCATGAAAATGGTCAGAAATCTCGTGTGGAAATGACCATCGCATCGACAGATGCTGCATTATCAAAGATTTTCATCATTCCATTGTAGCACGAATTACAAAGTCCATGGATACACGAAGATCCAAACAGACATTAGAAGGAATTGTTCACGTAATCGAAATTAGATTCGATCCCCAAAAAAAAACCTGACTTTGTGACTCATGCGGTCGACAAACAACAACGAAAAAACCCAAAAAGAAAAAAAAGAGTTTTTTTTCTTCCTTTTTCCAATACCAATCCACGATCCACGAACAAAAACACGTCTGTCAACATCTAGTATCGCACATATGCCAAAAGGAAGACCAAGAAAAAAAGTACTTATCTTTAACAAAATCAAACAATATGCATCATATAGAACCCCAACCATAACGTTAATTACTGCGAAAAAATTCATCTAACTATGACACAAAAAAAAAAGAAAAAATATGACAAAAAAAATCAAGAAAGGGGAGGAGTATGAAGAAAGGGTATCATCGCGTGTTTCTAAGCTTGAGAAACACCTGCAACTCTTGCAAGCCGTCCATTGTGATCCCAATCAAAACCCCTCAAACAAGATCAAGAGACGAAATCTTGGACCCTAGCATGATCTCTGCCAAAACAAGCAAAACCCATCAAACCCTAATGTGTCGGCCGTGACATCGTGAAGGGGATACATATATATATATATATATAGAGAGAGAGAGAGAGAGAGAGAGAGTCAGCGGGAGGGCTGCACGGAAAAACCTAACCGACCCGGAAACCTACGCTTGAAACGCTTTTAAACGCCTTCTATTGTCATTGCAGGCTTCGCCTTTGAGCTTTGGGCTTTGGGCTTTGGGCTTTGGGCCGGTTCATAAACAGACCAGCGGTACTCTTGAGAGTACCTACATCTCCTGAAGTGAGCAGCTTTCTTGCCCATCGTAACGCAGAATGTACAAAACCAATCTAACACACAAGTGCTTTGATGCCCCGAATACGATAAGTCATAAACTAAAATTATACTGCTAATGCCAAATTAATTATATGATATTTAAAGTCAAATCATAGAATATAGCCCGACTCTATCGGGCTAGATGCAATTTCCTTCACGAATCGGGGGCACTGATGTCAATCTGACTCACCCAGCGGTTGACTAAGGTTATTTTTGGGCGCCAACAACGACATGTGATACGGCGAAAGCCAAGTCAGCAATCTACAAACAATATTCTTTGGTTACTCTCTACCGTCGTACTGTGTATGTAATGTATATCACAGTCCACAAATCACATTTCCAATCAATATCATATGTATTCATTCCCCTTTGGAATTAGAATTGGCAGGTTTTGTTGTCCAGTTTGCATGGGGACTCACTCACGTAAGCAATTATGTTATCAGGCTTTGTCATCTTAGAGGATCTCTTCATGTTTTAAGGTTACCTATTGCGTGCCTCGTTCTTTTACGTGCTAAATTTGGAACCGTAAAATATGGGGATAGGAGTATGTTGTTCCTCCTCCCCGATTGTGCATGGAGACGGACATCTCTTTGGTGCCATAGACATATAAAAGGAATCACGATGCATAATCAAAATTGCCCCACCTATCTATCTATGGATAGTACAACCACAGTGGACGACGAGTGGATCTACAATCATGAACACCTAACTTCTTTTGACGCTAAGGGTCGGGTTGACAGACCTTTCGTGGCTGTTCTAAAGATGAGACCATGTGGTTGTGAAGTTCGACTATATCGAGATGTTGTAATGCGTCTTATTTTTTTAATGCGCAGGCACAGATCACCTAAACACATTATCGGTGCAAAGACATTGAATTGTCCACAGCCGTATATTCTTCCATCGTGTTATGTAATATATAATATAATATCGATACGTAATCAGTGAAGGTGTAAGTCTCATGGTAACTTGTGCTTTTTATAATGCTGGCAATAATGAAATGAATCATGACTTGGTTGTGCTTTGGTACCAAACCGCGTGGGCTGGCATTATAATCACATGGTCGGCTTTTGTTGTGTTTTAGACTTGTACTGTTCGTTAAGTTAGATCAATTATTCATGAGCTGGATTCCAGCAATCGAAAAGCTAGAAAGGGCCACACATTTGATATTAGATAAGAACCATTGTTTATTTGATTTCTTATCTTATAATTTCCAAGGTTGCAGCTTCTGAATGGTTTTTGCTTGATCCCTAATTAATAAGGCCATGTCAGTAGTAACTTAACACTGCTTCCTCTCCGTGTAGGTTCATTGCTCCATGCTTCACTACAAGGTAGTAGTAGGATGTACTTGAATATATATTTTATATCGGTGCTCTCACTTTCTTTCTCAAACTTTCATACCGTCGTGATCAGGTTCTTCCATTTTGGTGTATCAAAGAAGACATTTCACACTTTGGAAATCGGATTTGATGTTGAACTGATTATAAAATCTCTGTCTACACTTCAACATTCCATCAAATTCTGTCAATATTAAGTTACCTTTACTTGGTTGTGAACATGTATCAAGTCTGAATTCCTTGCTTCAGTCACTTCCATGTTGTGCCTCCACCTTCTACGGATTTGGAGCTTTATTAAGTACATCTGACTGCATGACCCACACGTTGATCATGTAGTGCTGCATCATAAGTGATACAACCAAATACCTGTCGACTCATTTATTGAGCAGTATCGCCTTTACACTGTGATACTTGGTGGAGGCATTCATGTCATGAGCTCCACAGGAATCATCTTTTATTACATAATGAACTGTATGAGTCGTAGCATGAGGAATGATTTCTATTGAATTCCATGGTGGAAAGACGTTTATAATTTTACTGCCGAGTGTCGCTAAAGCTTTAGCTTGTCTGATAATACCGTCCAAATCATCATCCATTTCTGATGAGGGGTTCGGCAACTTCCTCCTCACAGACCTTGGATAATTGGTAATTGTAATTGGTAATTGTAAGTGGTCCAGAAAAGACAGTCTCTGAGCAACCGAGACGCTTCACCATGCAAAGCACCAAAAAGCTTTGTTGGTACATGATACCATGGTCCCCAGATGCGCCATTCATGCATGCATGTCTCTTAGATCCATCAAGAAAGAGTTGAAACCTTGGAGATAGATATCATTGTGTAAGATGTGCTGTGAAGAAACAGAAAATTATATATTCTTGCTGGTAGACATCTTTTCTTTGTGAGAAAAGAGTCCATAAGATAATATTAGTATGACATTCTTGTTCCAAATAAGAACTGCAGCTTAACAATGACTACCTTCATGGCGTAGGTTTCATTTTTTGATGCGATTTGGTCTTCTTTCTTGTCGAGTTAAACGATGGCTAGAGGCAGCATCTTATCCACAAACCTACCTGGACGTATGCCTCCCTTTCAGCTTTTGTTCTCTTTCTGCAGCATCACATCCTCCTTGTTGCATGTAAAGCCATCTGCCTTCGACAGCATCGTCTCTGCACACGCAACAGTACCAAGGCATTAAGTGTATTGTCTTCCTTGTCATGTTCACTCGACTTCCAGGATGTTACACAGAGTAAGAACGCAAGGATAAAGATTCGATCAATTATTGGAACATGTGGCTAGATCCAGGAAGAAGCACTAGGAGAGAAGATGGATACTTCAAATCCTAGAGTTAACAGCTCAAGTTTAATATCATCTGGTCTCCAAGGAAGGAAGTAAGAAGACTCTAAAATCCGATACAACAACCTCAGGGAGGTGAATTAGTTTCCTCTCCTCTGCTAGATTCATCAAACAGCTCGGTGACACAGCTCTTCTCAGGCGAAGAGGATGAAGATGGTGTCGGATCACCCTCTCTCTCGTCCATGAAATCTCTGAAATCAGTGACGTCGTTTGTAATGATGTCCTCCTCCTCGTCGACGACTATGGGGGCTCTTCTCCTCTTAAAAATGCGACAAAGCACCCAGTCTTGGCTTGGAATCATCAAACCCTGCATTATAGGAAATACATGATCTCCAACATATACTGCACATTGACTATGGCATTAGGATCTCACATGAGTTGAGTTCTTCCTCTGCGGGTAGACCAAGCTTCTGCCATCAGAGCCGGCCAGGCGATACTCATGCATCATCCAGTCGGTTGGAGAGCTGGTAGGAGGTTTTCCGCGGTAGAAGACCAAAACCCTTCTCATCCCCACCACTTGGTTGCACCCAGAAGCTACGATCTGCTTGTCCTTCCCCCTGGCCTTCCAGTAGCCGGATCTCGCCGCCCGGTTTGATCGCTTCCCATTGGGATATTTCGCCTCTCTACGGTTGAAGCAATACCTCTCATCGCCTTCCATTAATGCACCTACATATTGCAGCCACAGCTATCTCATCACCATCACTCACATCAAATATACACAGGATATGGTGTTCTTGACACTTAATTACCAGGCAAGTTCCATGGATCGTACTTCCCGAGATCGATCTCAGGAATGATAGAAGCTGGCAATGGGCAGGAGAAGACCTTCCTCTTGAGGTACTGAACGACTAGGTCTTCATCAGTGGGATGGAACCTAAACCCAGGGGGCAGCCTGAGAGCTCCAAACCTTACAAGACTCGGCTTGTGACTCATTTACGTTGTAAGCACTTCCCTTGCTTCTCCTTCAGGAGAGCCGCCGCACGTTTGGGAGCATGGAAAAAGGGAAGAATCCGAGGAGAAGCAAAAGGGAGTGGTGAGGCGAGGATAACAGGAGGGGACACCAGTTTATAGAAAAGGTTGCGGAAAGAAGGCGACGGCCGGAGTAGCGTGAACCAGACTCAACCTATTGATGCAGTATAACGAAAAGACGATGTCGATGACAGAGACGGGGATGTTTACGTTTGCTTATCAACTGCACACAAGACCTCATCTCAAACACTTTCTAGATGATGATGATGATGCTTTGCAGAAGAATTATTTCCACGACCACATCAAGGCTACTATATTATGACAGTTGAGTTGGCAGTGGGCCCTTGTTTTTGCATCCTGCAGTGAACGATTCCTTCGATATGGTCGGATCGATGCATCTGTACTTTCTATTCGCAATATATATATATATATATATGTATATATATATATATGTATGTATATATATATATGTATGTATATATATATATATGTAT